TAAGTGTGGATTCGTTTATACCAGACACTAGACAATGTCATATAAAAACATCAGTTGATTTAAAAATGTCGACCAGCCACCCTTTGGTCGATCTTATCTGAAATCACACCCCTACTGAATTCTTGGCCTAAACTGTCCCCTTCCCTGCTGCAAATCCTAATCAGTTTTAACCCTGACAATACTTTATTTACTTAAAGGGGCACTGACACCCCAAAGGTCGTATTTATTTTTGTTGTCTAAAACGATGTAAGTTGCAGTCATAGACACGCAAAAAAAAACCGCACCGCGAAAAAAAATTTTCCCGGGCCCGCGCGCGCCTTTTTATTTTTGGCGTTTGATTTTCCCGCCTCTCGCCTCCTCGCTTCTTTTGATCGGTGACGTCAAGAATCAGGAAATTTAGAAGCTTTGTAGGCGACATCTCTATAACATTTAATTACGGCAATCCTAAAACATGTTTTTTAACGCAATTGCGAACGCACTAAGGCCCTTCTTTTTGAAATACCAAAAATCGGGAGTTCGTTGTGGTGCCGTCTCCTGGATTGGTATCCTCCAACGGAAAACAGGCGACACCGCTCAAAACCGGTCCGCCGCAACGAGCCGGCGCTCGCTCCTTTCCTCCTCGCTTTGGGTCGCCATGGCAACAGCAGGGAGTGGAGAAAAAAAAGTGGACTCTCAGGTCTCACCAATTTTTGACGTCAAGGCACCGGCGCCGATCGCGCGGGAACTTCGAATTCGGCATTTGGAAATTGTTTTTTTACTTCACGAATACTGAATTCCCAAATTTCAAATTTTGAGGGTAATGTCCCGGCATCGTTTTCGATCGTTTCGGATAATAAAAAAAATATGATTTTGATGTGTCAGTGCCCCTTTAAGTCCTTCCTCCATGCAAGTAAAATCAAAGCCTAGCTTGCACTGCTCTCTTTTTTTCCGTCTCACTGAGGTATATCATAAATAGCAGGGGGAACAATGGGCAGCCCTGTCTAAGTACTCTTTTTATTGCTGCTAGTCTTGTAGTTTCGGCTTCCCATGTTATAACCACCCTATTCTTCGTATAAATCCGTTCTTGAAACTTAACCATGGTTTTCCCTATCCCATATCCCTTCAGCCTTGATCCCAGAGTTTTTCCTGATTCACATTGTCATATGCCCCTTTGATGTCCAAAAATGCTAAACTGGCCTTTGACTTGTCATTGCTACCTCTATGCACTGAGTGATTACGAATAAGTTTTCATCTAGTCGTCTATCCCTCCTGAAACCGTTTTGAAGCTCTCTTAGAATCTGCTTTCTCTCTGCCCATTCTTTCATTTTTTTACAATTTGCGTAGCTAGCCTGTATATTACTTGGATTGGTCGGTATAGTTTGATACTGTCTCTGTCTTCCTTACCCTTATATAATGATCTCGTCCTGCTCAATTTCCAGTCACTGGGTGCCTCCCGTTCCATAACTATCTGGTCAATCACCTGCCTTAGTTTCCATTTGCTTGTATTGCCTAGAAATTTTATCAGTCTCATTGGTATGCCGTCTGGACCTGTCGCAGTTCCAGCCGGAACCTTTCCTTATACTTTTTCTCATTCCCCCTGTGGTCATCTCTTCTTCTTCAGTATGATCCTCCTCTTGTGTTATGTAGACGCTACTATTCCTTACGGCCTGATCTGTTTCTAACTCCAAAAATGCTGCTTCGATTGCATGTCTAATGTATTCTCTTGCCTGATGTATTCTCTTGTCTAATGTATTCTCTTGCAAAGACTGTCCCCAGACCTCTGGGATGGTGCATATTTGCACGTGCACCGTCTCAGAGACCTCTCTCAGCTTACGTAACCCCAACTCTATCTGCCTGCCTAGGTTCTGGCTCCGTCCCTTTAACACATCATTTAGGGCCGGTTGCACCAACGTCGCTTAGCGCAAAGCGGAGCTTAGCCGGGAACTTAAGCTTAGTTTCAATTTCGTTCGGTTGCACCAAACTCGCTTATCGCTAAACCTAGCACTAAACTACGCTTAACTTAAGCGCTCAACATTGGGCGCTTTGCTTCTGGTTGTTTCTTAATCCTGGATTAAAAACATGGCGGCTGGTCTGTCACGGTCGACGTGGTGGACGAAATTGGTTGTGCAAAGTGTTTTAGGCTACATCGGCGTGAAAGTCTCGACTAAATGACTTTCGATTGTGACAAGGATGCAAAATATTGTCGCGTGAAGTGTTGATCGACCCCTGTTTTCAAGTTGGCTCTCCACTTTCAGGGCGTGTTAGCCCTAACCGAGAAACGTACGGAGCTGTGGGGCTCACGTCTGTATTCCCGTTGGTTCTTCTGTCAACGAGCTTATTCGTATGTACTTACTAATTTTCGCATAGCTGTAACGTATTGTTATTTACCACCTTGTTTATTTACACTTGCAGCGCGTATCCTTCAATCTGATCAGCGCGTTGAATAGTGGCAGTACATGATCTCGGCGATCAGCTGATTGTCGACACCTCTGCCGTTTGCATTAGATTGCGGCGCTTTTAAGTAATAAAACAACGAAAATTCAATTTCTTTCGTTTCTGAGTTTTGAGACAATCTTCAGTGAATTTTCCTAATCTCGCGAGTAGAATCTTGGCTTCAGAAAACTGTATTGTTCCATAACTAACTTTTTTGGTGATCGCATTTTTTTTTTTATATACTTTGCTTTATATCTTTCATTCGTTTCCCGAGAACGAGATACTGTTGTTTCCGAGTTGTGCTCTGTGATGGTGTTTTCCCTTTACTTTTGTCGTTTGTTGTCATTGTGACGACGGTTGAGACTATATACCGGAACACGTTTTCAATAAAATTCAGTTGAAAGTTGCGCCTTGTTGTGTCCTACGTAACTTTTTTGGTGATCGCGATTTTTTAGGAATATTTTGCTTTATATCTTTCATTCGTGGCGACGACAAATCGTAACGACTACTATGTTAGATTCGTGCATTGCTGTATCGGGGCAGGCTGGGGCAGGTGATGCGAAGAGACGACCGTTCTTATCGGCACGATGTAATGTACTAGTGGGAGTGTTTTTTTTTTTCTGAACTCGACAGTGTGAAACTGAAGTCCGTTTGAGGCTGCAGCGGATGTTCAACGACGGTACAGTGCAGTTCTGTCACCTTGCTGATAGCAACGAGTACCGTCGATGCAAGGTCTCGTGACCTGACCTCTCGACGACTTCTATTCGACGATTTCCGGGCATTTTCGCAGCTGCCGTGGCGAGTTCGTCACTGTTTTGAACTTCATCGGTCTCAGGTTTGACTTGATTTTAGTAGTAATCTTACCTGCCTACTTATATCGATGATGTTTTGTCTTCAGCGATGTAGCCAGTAGAGTCCCCGATGGCTCCTTCACCTCAAAATGTGAGCACGAAAACTACTACCACTGCGAAAATATCCTGTTATCAACCGATATTAAACACAATCACAGATGTAAAGAACATTCGTGTTTATTTGAAGCTTTGACTTCTGTTATTGAAAGTTAAACGAAAAAATGATTGAATTTGGAGACCTTTAATTTGTTACTCACCGAAGAAATACAGCGAAAAGCAGACGCCAACGACTACTACTACGGCTGTTTTTTTTTTTTTTTGTTTACATCACGTGATTCCTTTCCGCCAATCGTATTCGTCGCTCTGAGCGTTCCCTAGTTTGCTCTGTTTGTCCCTAGATTCCTTACGCAAATCCAGCGTTTAGCTAGGGGCGCGTCTGTAAAGCCGGCTTAACCTTGGTGCAACCGGAATTTAAACCCGTGCTTACCTAAGCTCGGTTTAGGGCGCTAAGCCGGCTTAGGAAAGTGCCGCTTTGGGTTAAGGTAAGCGGCGTTGGTGCAACCGGCCCTTAGTCATGCATGTACCACCACTAGGTTCTCTTCCTCCTTGTTTTCCCACACCTCCTCCTTCGATTTGGCCATAGCGTCTACCATCCACTTTCCTGGCTGAGCCACTATGCTGCAGACTCCTTTCTTACATTGCCAACCAACTCGTCACTATAGTTAAGTGTCCCCCTGGGTCTGCCGCCCCTACCGCCGTCTTCTCTGCCACCTTTTCCTTATTAACTACTCCTCTCAGTTGTTGCACCATATCCTCACACTTCTTCCTATGCTCCTCCAACTCCGCCTTCCGCTCTTCCCCCTGTCTAAGCTCCTCCACCTGTCACTCAAGCTCGGCTAGCTGTTCCCGTTCTTGCCTCAGCTCTTCTGCCACGCTCTCTGCTCTGTCTTCCCGTTTTCTGGTCATCTCCTCCGCATCCGCTTTGGCACTCTTAATCAAATCTCCGACTTGCGCCTCGAGCTGAACCCGCTTCTCCCGCTCTACCTGTATTTTCCGCTTCAACTCATGAACCGTAGCCGCCCATTCCCCTCCTATTCTCCTAAAACCATCTTCTACCTTCTCGCAACTCCGGCATGTAAAGCTGCTCCCCTCGGCTTCTGCTACACTTTCGAACTCCGTCTCCATCATGCTGCACCAACGGCCACACTCCTCACATTCTACATCGGGTCCTTCTTTTACTTTAGGCTTCTCAGCCTTCTGCCGTCGCGTATTCACCATCGCCTACCGACACACCGCGAGACCCCTCGAAAAATGCCCCACCAAAACTTAAACCAAGAAAGCCTGGACGCCTCTGCCCACGCAACCAACCAGCCCGCCAAAAGTTTCAAACGCGCACGTGGTTCGGTCCCGTGACCCTACCTAAAAAAGTCTACTTTAACCCAACTATCCTATCGCTACTTTAAAAACTACTTTCTACTGCCTCATAACCACACACGCAACTAAACTAAATATACCAAATATATGGTGTGCCCATATTACACAGTGTTTCCAACTGCTCGATCGTGGTGGTTCATGGGCCGCATTTGCAAGAACAGCTCCGAGGAGGAGGTGGCGAAAGCGTTGATCGTCTGCAAGCGTCTTTGCCTTTCCTCCTGCTTTCCTCCTCGCTACACGAAAAAGCAGCACATGCGCACTTGAGACCGATTGCCGTAGGAGGTGTCCACCATTAAAGTGCAAATGCAAATTGCATCGGTCACAGCCAAGCACAAATGCGCGAGAAACATGGTGTTGGCGTGCACGGGTGTTTGTTTCAGCGGCGGAAACAAGCGCAAGCTCTGCATGGCCTTGGCGTACATCGGCCTGCCCAGGGTGGTTTTCCTGGACGAGCCTACGGCAGGAGTTGACGTGGTAGCCCGCAGCAAGATCTTCTCAGCTCTGAAGGCGATTCGAAGCGCGTCCGGCAATTCCCTCGTCCTGACCTCTCACAGGTGGGCGCATCACTCTCCGCGCCTTGCACGAAGGCTTGAGTAAATGCGGCAGAATTGTAAAAGAGCAACTTCGCACTAAAATAATCTGGTGAGCTTTTCGCCTGCGAAAGGATCCATTCTGAAGAATGGATTCATTCCTCGAGGATTGAATCCTCGACACCTTCAACGTCACCAGTACCGGATGCACCCGTAACATTTCAGGACTAATCTTGAGACGTAGAAAGAGAGGGCAGCCCGGTAGTGCCCGTGCAGCTGTTGAAGGCAGGGACTTTCGTGTAGCATTATACCAAAGGGCGCCGTTCTGTGAACATTTGGTGCCGCGCTACTTGAATCTTTGTGACCACGTGCACGTGCATGATCACATGGAAGATTTCAGCATGGGTGGCAAACCAGAGCGAAAACCCAAGCGTCAATTCTGCGTCAAAGTCGGTGAATTTGGAGCAGAGATGTTTGAAATGATTCTGCATGCTTATGACGAAAGAACAGTGAGTCGCGCGATGTGTTTTGAGCGATACTCGCGGCGCGTCATTACCACGAACTTACGTCAAACAAGTATAAGTACTGCAGATTTAGTGAATTGCAGCACGATAATAACAGTGCTGACTGTTGGGCGAGTGGGTGCTAAACTGGAGAATACATGGTAGCGCTCAAAGACGAGGACAAAAGGAGGAGAACTGGACACCGCTGTGCGCTAAGAGTTTGGCTGAGTGTGCATGATGTGCTTAAGTTCGAGCACAGCACGAACATTTATAGCGCACACTGTGGTGCCTAGTTCTCATTTTGTCCGGTTTTCGAGGGATATATCAAGCAATTCTCAGTAAGATACGCTCATTGTGGACGCGCCCGTCGTTCTCGCTCCTCTCGCCAACGCCTCAGCATGGACGAGTGCGAGCTGGCCTGCGACCGCATCGGCATCATGGTGGCCGGCCAGTTCAAGTGCCTGGGCACGCTGCAGCACCTCAAGGGCAAGTTCGGCAAGGGCTACACCCTCAATGTCCACCTCGAGGACGTGTCCACCACGAACGTGGCCGACTTCAGGGCGAAAGTGGAGAAAGCTTTTCCCGGTATCGAGCTAAAGGAGCATCGTGAGGTAATTGCATCGCCACCCTAATAAACCAGCTCGCCTGTCTACTCACTTTACCTTCAATTACTCTGATCGTCATCATCCAAAACAACTACTTTTTTTTTTCTAAACGCAATCATTTTAAGTTTTCGATTTCACCACATCTTTCGTTTTCGTAATTGTTGTTGCAACATTCTTGACTCTATTCGTTATATACACAGCCTCAAGATCAATGTAGTTAGCATGCCTTATGCACAAGTGTGCACCGCCACTGTCAGCTTAAACGTGCACCAAAGACGTTTCTGAGATCGTCTGTTCTTGGTGATAACTCATTTTACGAGATCTAGCGTCACAGAAATCGAAAAATTATGCTCGTGCGACGTCTATTTCCCTACTAACAATGTGATTGAAGTTCGTGCCACCCCCCTTTCTGAGCGAAAAATTCTGCATGGAGCAGAGAACCCAGCGGGGGCGCCGGCGGCGTGACGGCGGGCGCGCGGACTGGCTGACGCGCGTTTGTTTTATTATTATTATTTTTACTCGTCGAAGCGAACAAAGCTTATTCCGCGCGAACTTTTCAAAAATCCAGATGGTGCGCGCGTCGAAGGTGTGAAAAGGCGCTCCCTCCGAGGCGAATGAGTGCGTAACGTATCTGGGTTTAGCAGCGAAATGAGAGCTCGTGTCCCTTAAAACTCCTCGGAAAAGAACGTAAACCACATTTTGGTTCGTTACAGTTGCATTTCCTTCAGTGTAGTCGAAACGCAACCAAAACGCGTGCAAACACGCACGCACATGCACGTATAATAACACTCACACAGACACCCGGGTATATATAGTCACGCGCAGGCAGGCAAACACGCCTGTGCATGCACGCACATAAGCACTCTCGCGCATGCACGCACACACGCAAGCAGAGACACGGACGCGCAATTACGTACGCAAGCGCGAGCACGCACATGCATGCACATAATAGAAAAACTAGACGAAACGTCACAAGGTGTATCGATGAAACGAACGCCGGCTATTTCCGATGGAACGATTTATCGTTGAAAAAGTGCAGCTTCGAAGAGACGAGCTGTGTAAAGCATCGTCTGACGAACTGATTGCATGGGATCGCGTATATTCGCAATGTATAGAACATTAAACAGCGGTCACTAAAACAGGCACACAAAAAGCATAACTGTTTCCAGTGCTTCGTGAGAAATCACCGGACCCCAGTTGCCGAAACAAATCTTGCATTCACAGAAATACACATACAACAGAGGGGGATTCTAACCACGGTCATCTCCCGAGAAAAATAAACTACGCATTGCCAAATGCTCAGCCTCCGCCCAAATGTAGCCTAGCGACATAGACTAAGCGTTCGACAATATATAATGTATTTTCGCGGCAAGAAAAACATGCTTCCGATTTTTTTCGAACGAACTCTAAAGAAATGTATATTATATCTATGATCGAAATTTGCACCCCTTTTAGAGGAAGAAATGTAGTACTTACCGTGGGGGGGGGGGCAGAAGGAGCGTCGTTCTTGTTCCTGTACGATCGCTTTGACCATGCACAGTCTGCAACGACGGTCACAAGCGGATACGGATAGCCTTCGGCATCGATCTCGACAGATTCCTTCGCGCGCCTCGCTTCTTCCACTCCGGCATGTTGCATGGCTTCCCAAGCGGCATCTTCAACACCCCGAGTCAATTCCTTCTCGCAGCGCTACGACACGATGACTCAACCTCACCTGAAACCTCACCATCCGTAGTTTCAGCAGAGGGTCGCTTACGTGCAAACTCTATTGGCGACTTCGAGACCTTTCGCTTGCCATATTTATACCTCTTTGGACCCATAGCCGCGTGGACGGCCTTTCTAGTTATTAAAACACGCACAGCTATCCGCCTGACACCCACCCCGAAAAACACAAGCACTCTGTCTGGACGGGTCTTGCCGTCTCTGGAACACCACAAGCGCGTTACTGAAGAGCGCATGCGCGCGGAGTAAAGCCCGGTTCAAACAGACCCGGACTGCGAACCCGGGCGCCGGAACCCGCAGTGACGTCAGCGCTCCCTCCGTACGGGCGGTAACGTAAATACGGCTTCCGGCACCCGGATTGAAGAGTTGAAATTTTTTCAACTTTCTCCTGCCCGGGTCGTGACGTAGGTTTCCGTATTTTCTCCGCGGCCAATCAGCGCGGCGCGCTTCCCTCCTCCGCCCTCCTTACCACCGGCGTTCACGTTGTTCCGCGTGCGAATGCTTCAGTCGCTCCGTGCTTGCTTGCAAGAAAAGCTCCGGCGATGAACTTCCCGCCCGTCACCGACGTGAGGAAAGCAGCTCAGGCTGCAAAGAAGAGTGCCGCTGCGTTTAACGTACCCGAGAAAGCCTATGGACTAGCTAGCTAGTTCAGCAATACGGCTGGATCTTCGACAGGGATCGTAGCGACCACAAGGACCGGGACAAGTGAAAGAACTCGATACTGCTTTTAATAATTTATTGACACGGTTTCGGAGACACGGGAGGTGGTTGCAACTCGATGAAACGGCATCTTCATTGCAAATATCAGTAGCGCTTAGAAAGGCCGTTTGTAGAGGCAGGCAGTGGTTGGCTTGCTGGCTGCAAAGAGACCGGAAAGGCAGTGGGATGTTATTAATAAGCAAATGTGCTAAGCTTCCAGCTTTCAGGGCATGCTTGATCACTACAATTGTAATGAAGCAACTCATTTGTTCATTTTTTTTTTATACACAATGTTTTACCAGCCTCGGGCACTCTGCGACCGACAAAATCTCCTCCCCCCGAAACAAAATCCTGGCTACGTGCCTAGCTGCAACCATTGTGCGTGCGAGCTACATCTGACACTTAAAATGTTAAAAAGGTCAAAGACACTGGTACGCGCTGTAGACCAGTTTTTTAGGCAGTACTGTACGACCGCTAGCCTAGGGTCTTTAACACCCGTCACGCAGTAGTGAAACACGAAGGTCTGCTGGTACGATGCTCATCCAGATCGAAACGGGCAGGGGTGGGGATTGGACCTAAGATCCCTGGGTTCTGCAGCGCGAGCTTTCGTGCAGAAAGCTTGTAAGCACACCTCCTAGCTAGCACAAAGGACAAGGAAGCACAACGGGCTTCCCTCATACATGCACTCAAAGGAGCACAACACCGTGACCAGATTTTGTGGACGAAGGGAGTGTGTCGTACGAGCTGCACATGTGCATGCCATTGCTATTTTTTTATAGCACAGACGCAGTAAAATTTGACAAGCATGTGACTGTTACGAAAGCTGCTCTCGTGATCCTGCCGCGTTAAAAATGATATAAACGTGCTTTCACTGCGGAAGCGCACGCTCCAGGGCCGGTTTGCTCATCTTGCGGCTGCGGACGCGGCCGCGGCCAGGAGGGATTTTTACGTCACGTGACCAGCTCCATGGGGACAAGGAAGTACCTAGCGTCCCTGCCTAATGGCGGAGATATCCGCATCGCTTCAAGCACAAAAGCCTAATTTCGCTCGCAGAAACTGATTGGAGGGACTTTCAACTGGAATCTAATTGACCGCCCCTTTATACTGTAGGAGCGGCAGGTAAAGTTACGGCCAGGGAGGGCAAATAGGAGCCAAAATAAAGAAAAAAACACACGAGATAAAAGCGGTAGCCGTATTTTTATATACCTCCGCCGGCGCCGCGCCTCGCGCCGTCTGTTGTGGTCGAGAGGTTAAAGCGCCGGTACTTGTCGTCGCGGCGTGAAAGTTCCGGGTTCAAATCGCGCTAGGAACTTCTTTTTTTTTTTTGTATTTTGTGCGTGTCTTATTTTTGAACTGTGATCCTTTTTTGGAAATCATCCACTTGCATGCACTACTGCGCCTTAGACGCTTTTACTGTTAGTCCCACCTGTTCAATCGAAACACCGGGAAGAAAAAAAAAAAAAGATCAACGCAAGTTAACGCGCTCATGCAATAATTTCGTAATGTTCATTAAAAGGAAACCAAGCTAACAGCATCAGTATGGCTTTCACACAAGCGGAGCCGAAACAAGCATCCTTTCCCCAGCGTTTACAATTTTATCTGTTTTCAAATAACGCTCTTGCTACGATTCCTTTCAATAACAAGAGACGCCTATTTAGGACTAATAAAAACTGCAGTTGTAGCAATTAAAGAAAATAAAACAAGCAAAAAAAAAAAAGACTAGCAGCTGTTTATACATTGATTGAGCGAAATCCTACAGGCGAGGCAGCAGGTCAAACGTCTGAGAAAGGAGTAAACTTGAACTAAAAGAGATCATACTTTTCCTTGCATGGAATGAGATAAAAAGTATATTTATACTCTTTAAATTTTGTTGTGGCAATCGTTTTTTAATATTAACACATTACTTGTTGAATTTTAGTTAGACTATACTCCGCGACAACTTTTCTTGGCAATGCAGTGGAAGGTAGAGGCCCGCGTCCCCTCTCCCATTTTGAGTGTGCGCGGGCTCTCCTCCTCTCCCCGGAAATGGGGGAGGAAGAGAGCCTGCGTACACTCAAAATGGGAGATTGGACGCGGGCCTCTACCTTCCACTGCATTGCCAAGAAAAGTTGTCGCGGAGTATAGCAGACGATCACGACCAAATGCAAAAATGAATCAGGCATCGACCATCGCAAACCCTCTCTCTAATGCAAACACCTAAAATGACTTTAGATCAAGAAATGGAATTAATTATAATTAATTCCATTTCTTGATCCAAAGTCAGTTTAGGTGTTTGCATGAGAGAGAGGGTTTGCGATGGTCGATGCCTGATTCATTTTTGCATTTGGTCGTGATCGTCTGCTAGTCTAACTAAAATTCAACAAGTAATGTGTTAATATTAAAAAAACGATTGCCGCAACAAAATGTAAAGAGTATAAATATACTTTTTATCTCATTCCATGCAACTAAAAGTATGATCTCTTTTGGTTCAGTTTTACTACTTTCTCAGACGTTTGACCTGCTGCCTTGCCTGTAGGATTTCGCTCAATCAATATATCCGCAGCTGCTAGTCTTTTTTTTTTGCTTGTTTTATTTTTTTTAATTGCTACAACTGCAGTTTTTATTAGTCCTAAATAGGGGTCTCTTGTTATTGAAAGGAATCGCAGCAAGAGCGTTATTTGAAAACAGATAAAATTGTAAACGCTGGGGAAAGGATGCTTGTTTCGGCTCCGCTTGTGTGAAAGCCATACCGATGCTGTTAGCGTGGTTTCCTTTTAATGAACATTACGAAATTATTGCATGAGCGCGTTAACTCGCGTTGATCTTTTTTTTTTTCTTCTTCCCGGTGTTTCGATTGAACAGGTGGGACTAACAGTAAAAGCGTGTAAGGCGCTTTTACTGTTAGTCCTGCAAGTGCAAGTGGACGATTTCCAAAAAAGGATCACAGTTCAAAAATAAGACACGCGCAAAATACAAAAAAAAAAAAAAAAAAAAAGTTCCTAGCGCGATTTGAACCCGGAACTTTCACGCCGCGACGACAAGTACCGGCGCTTTAACCTCTCGACCACAACAGAAGGCGCGAGGCGCGGCGCCGGCGGAGGTATATAAAAATACGGCTACCGCTTTTATCTCGTGTGGTTTTTTCTTTATTTTGGCTCCTATTTGCCCTCCCTGGCCGTAACTTTACCTGCCGCTCCTACAGTATAAAGGGGCGGTCAATTAGATTCCAGTTGAAAGTCCCTCCAATCAGTTTCTGCGAGCGAAATTAGGCTTTTGTACTTGAAGCGATGCGGATCTCTCCGCCATTTGGCAGGGACGCTAGGTACTTCCTTATCCCCATGGAGGGGGTCACGTGACGTAAAACTCCCTCCTGGCCTCGGCCGCGTCCGCAGCCGCAAGATGAGCAAACCGGCCCAGGTGAGTATTCCTGCGAGCGACGCACGAGCTTATGTGGAACGCCACTTGATATATAACATGAAAATAATCAAAAATAAAAAGCAGCACACCCTACCTTGCTCGTGACATTCGGAAGCACTCAAAGAATTCCCGGCCGTCGGGGTCTTCGAACATCTGTCTCACAACACTGTAGGACTGTAGTCTCATGATGGTGGCATACTCGTCGAGCATTTTTCGAGGCTTCAGGAGCTCGCGGGCGGCCTTTCGCTTCTTCTTTTTCTTCACGCTCCGTAGGTACTGCTCACACGCAGCCGCGAAAGTAGTCAGCCGACGCCAGTTGATAGTTCTTGCATTTGTGACGCACCTCACTACACAAAGGTTCATAAGTGAGGCAATTCGAGCTTCGTTGCCGGGATCCTGCCGAGACGACGCCATCACGGAACAAAGCGAGTGCCGCGGTGCCGCCGGTGCCGCTCTAAACGGAGCGCGTCGCGCGCCCGGGCTACAGGCACCATACCCGGGCTGCCCGGGCTGCCCGGGCGACGACCCGGCTTGACGACAGCCGCTGATTGGTTGCCTGGGGAGCCGCCGTGACGTCAGCTACCGTATGCGGAGACCCGTGTCGCGCGCCGTTCAAACCAAACCGTGACGTCAGCGCCCGTAAACGGGAGCCGGAAGTGATTACGTCAGTACGGGTTCCGGCTCCCGGGTTCCGTATTCCGAGTCTGTTTGAACCGCCCTTAGTACAAAATCAGAGCAGCGTGCGTGGCCGAACCGTGGCGCCCTCACGCGGCGCTTGTCGAACTAGTCTTGACCGTCCAAACGAGGAAAACAAGCCACAACACCTTGGTTCAGTTTTTTTTCGATGTAGCTACAGGACGGATGTACTTACAGCTATAATTCTGATATAATTGAATTCCGTGTTAAATTCCGCAGATATTCCTCGAGACACATTTGTTGTTCAAAAATCACAGGTTTTTAAAAACGCGTTCTAAAGTAAACATGTCAAAACAGCCGATTCCGACCGATTTCACGATTTACTATAAAATATAATAAATTTTTTTATGAAAACTATACTCTGAGGAATAGTTGGACGAAGGATCAATCTTTTTATAGCAAATAAGTTTGAAAAAATCGGAGCAAAGGCTATTAAAAGAGAATTTTTGTAAAATGGCAGAAACTCGCGTGTATTCTCTACGGGGCTTGGAGCAGAGCTCCCTCTTAACTTGATGGAGCGAATATGTGGCGAACAACACACGAACTTGGCTCGGCTGCCCGCTCGCTTTGAGCGCGGCGTAGGAGTCACGAATTCTTATGAGGCCATGAGCAGAGCGAATGCTGCGGGGCAAAATTCGTCGTTTCTTCTTTTTTTTTTTTCTTTTTTTGCTTTGGGGAGCCGGGTTTTAATCCGTTCTTAATCCGCAGAATGTCTTCGACTTTCACATGGAGAAGAAACTGCCGTGGAGCGTCCTGTTCGCTAAAGTTGAAGAGCTGGAGCTGATGTTCTCGTTCGATCACGTCTTGGTTTCCGAAAGCACACTGGAACAGATCTTCATCGGCTTTGCGCGACAGCAAGATGAAAAGAAAGTAGAACGCGACAATGTCCTCAGCACCGTGGCCCTCAGTCCACAGCCAACGAGGTTGGAGGCCAATAAAAATTAGAGATAAAACAATTATATCTGTTTATCTATTTTGACGGGTTATAATCGTTGGTGCCAAGGCGAACGTAGTTTCAACCAACGCTCTAGATTTCTTGGTTGACACGCACCACAGAAGAGCGTCGTTCGAAAACTGTTCTTTGTTGCCTGGACGCAAGTAGGGTCGGGAGCGATCCTTTAGCGTAACCAGCAACACCGCCCCCACGGGCAACGGAGTAGGAATATTTTTGAACGACGCCCTGTTTGTGCGAACTTCGTTTAGCGCAGGCAATATGAATCCAACTTTCCACCGGTTCCCACTATTCTGTCGATAGGGAGGGCTGGTAAGGCTGATGCAAATACCCTCGATATGTTTGCGTTTGTCTTTCAAGGAGCGTCAAACGCGCCAGCTAGTGCAACAGACCCGTGTTTCGAGCGGCTCTTGGAACTTGTCAAGTGATAAGTGCCGTCACGGCGCTCATTGGCCACGAACGCGAGTTCAAATATTCGTCGACGGATTGATTGTTGACGAGCGCATACGTCCGAGTTACGCACTGCTCGTGTCCATCAATGCGTGAACTGGGTTCGACTGACGTGCTTGGGCACCGCGGATGCATCCCAGTGAAAAGGTGGAGAACTTTCGAAGGAAAGGAGGTACGAAATGGTCCGCTCTATTTTCAAATTTTTGTACCGAAAAGCAAGCTTTAGACTTTTACGCTCGCGCACCAGTTTTATGTTAGCGCACTAAACGATATGCAATTAGTAAAATTCCAATTTATCCCTGCCGAAAATTACTTTCATGCTCCCTTTAAAAGGGCGATGCATCATTTTTTGTATTTTTCACAAATATCGCTTAGAACGGATCTGATGTTAATGACCGATGAAATACGCGTTCGTTCTTCACTACACACAATATAAGTCGCAAAACAAATTAAAGAAAAAGAAAATCATGAGCTATTTCACTCTGTGAAGGTGCATGACTAGCGAAGCTGTTTAGCCCACGACACAGACGTGACAAAGAATTTTGAACAAAGGTACGAACACATTGGTTGTCTTGATCGGTGGTCGTCGTGACTAAAGTTACGCAAACACATTTATTGTTTATTGTTGTTTTGATCGGTGATCATTATTTCGCGTAGACGACTATCGCCGCCCCGAGGAGACGGAGGAAACTAGACACGCGCGACGGGACCGCCACCCCGAGAGAGCGGAAGGAAAGGAAACTATAGCACGTAAGCGCTTGAAACGACGACGAAAAGAGGGTGGTGCGAGCCCAGACATGGCCATCACGGGTCGCACAGCGGCAAATCTTTGAAAAACCTTTGTTATCTACCTGAGAGTGTAATGATCTTGAAAATGGCGCTATCGATAACTGATCTACTGAATAGACCTATTGCTAGGTTACCCAAGCATCAAGGAGAATGCAGGGAATGGTGTTCCACGCGCCGCACGTGCCGGCGTCTGCAGCAGTAACTGGTCCAAAGCAAAAGCCTAAAACGAAAGGCATCTTGCACGCGCGGAAAAAGAAGAAGACGTCTAAGTAAGCGCCACGTATGTTATTCGCTCCTCCGATTCAGCGCTACTTAGCTCGTTCATTTCGTCACCCGAGATTCACAATCAACAACAAATGATTGCTCTTAACGTCACCCAACAAACCACGGATATCCGTCGGACGTCCGTGGAAGGTGCGAATATCCTGTGCCTGAAGGGGACGTCCGCAGAACGTACGCCGGACATCCGTTTCTGTATATCCAAATCGGAGATGTGCTGGATGTCCTAGGGATGTCCAAATCAGATTTTCAACGGATGTCCGCCAAACTTCCATTTATAGACGTACGCAGGACATCCATTTCTGTACATCCAAATCGGAGATGTACCGGATGTCCTAGGGATGTCCACATCAGACTTGTAATGGATATCCGCACATTTTCCATCCGTGGAGGTCCACTGGACATCCATTTCTGTACATCCAAATCAGAGATGTACCGGATGTCCTAGGGATGTCCACATCAGACCTTCAACGGATATCCGCAAAACTTCCACCCGTGGCGGTCCACAGGACATCCATTTCTGTACATCCAGATCAGAGATGTACCGGATCTCCTAGGGATGTCCACATAAGACTTTCAGCAGATATCCACAGAACTTCCATTCACAGGTGTACAGTGGACATCCATTTCTGTACATCCAAATAGGAGATGTACTGGATGTCCTAAGGATGTCCACATCAGAGTTCCAACAGATGTGCAAAAAACATACATAAATGGCAGGTTATATATGGCCCCAATTGCTTGGGGACAAACTTTAACAAATCACTTTTATCTAGAGACGTTTGAACCATGCATGGTTCTGTATTTCTGAAAGCATATATTTTACAAGACGTTTTAGAATTATAAATTTATGGGCATTTAGGGAATATTAATTTGTTTAAAGACTATTCAAAATATAGTTTATACAAAGTACTGCTCCAGTTACTCGTTGCTTTTGTAATTTGCAATACCGAAGCGGTTCTAACAAAGATAAGAAAATAAAAGCCAAGGCAGTAGGGTACTTTCGTGCGTAAACAAATCACTCTCTGCTTGCCTGCGAGGGAACATTAACCACCAACGGTATTTTTTCAGATTAAAATTATTTGTTTACAAAAATATTGTAGTGAAGCAAGGAACATTCTTTGAAAGATTGTGAAAGGAGTTTATTCAAGGTATGTTCACTCATCGCTGGAACTAGTCAAAACCTTTGAATCAGCAGTTTCTATCAAAGCGCAGAAGTTGTTTTAAAGCCGCTACCCGATTGATTATTCGGATGTCTTCGCGGTACTGTCATTCATTCAAATGACGTTCAGCTTGCAACTACTTGACAGCACGTCCTACGAAAGAGAGAAGCTGGATTGAGGATATAACTGCATTTGCGGGAGCGCAATTTGTAGAAATCAGATACTTTGCTTTATAATAAACCAATACAAATCGTTTGAATGAAAAATGTCGCTGCCACACGTTTTAGGTAAGCCCACCCCAATTTTATTTTATTCTCTTCATAATAAGTTTTCTATCTTACTTGTCAACCATACCTATATCACACTTAGGAATGCAAAAAAAAAAAAAAAAAAAAAGAAACTGTGCTGTCAGTGATTGTGATACAGCTCCAGAAGGGGTCCATATCACAAGAGCGAATGACATTTTAGCGAACGACGACATTTGAGCGAATGGTCGTTTTAGCGAATAACGGGGGCGCGCGTTAACCCATCCGTCGCGCTGCGCTTTATGCCGCTTCGCGGCGACAGTCTGCGGCAACTCATTACAAAAATATGAACCCATTTGGCCCACCCGAAAACGCCGCTTCGCGGCGTCCGACTATTCGCTAAAGTGTCGTTCGATGAAACGTGGGCGTTCGCTAAATAGCTCGTTCAACATTCAACTTCCCGAAAATGAGTGCGCATTTATGGCACTTTCACAGAGTGCTTTTGCTAAAGAGACAAGGAGACAAAAAAAAAAAAACCTCTATATTAGAGATTTTTGTATTTTTATTGAAATATCTATATAAATCTTCCAATAAAAAAGGCATTTCACATGAGCATGTTCTGGCTCGCCGCAGTCGCAAGCCCATGCTAACCCGGCTGTAGTTTTTTTGTAAACAATGCCCTACCCATATAATGTTTGTACAGGATTTGCGTAAATCTGGAACCTGTTCACAAATAGGTGTCCGTTTGTGTAAACCCATGCAAACAGTTGCATCAGAATGTGCGTATGGGTCAACCATTTACATTAGTAAACTTGTATAAGCAGGTCCTAATAACCTTTGCACAAATAATAAGGTCTAAATGTGGTTGCTGAAAAAGGCTTGAAAACGTAATGTAAAAACATAACTCCAAAGTGCTTGGGGATACTGATGTACCGAATTACACCACCTAAAATCTTAATCTAAACTGTCCTCTGTGTTGATAGATCTTGTGCCAGCAGATAGATATTGTGCCAGCAGAGCCAGCTAGATCTTTCTTGAAATGTTCTTTGGTAGGCTGCAAGACATGAAAACAAGAAAACAGAACCACGAGTATTTACCAACGTTATGTTGATCACGTTTTGAACTGTTTGCTAAAGCCGGCCTAGTGATCTAGAATCGGGAACTCTGTCAGATTAGTCAACTTAACCAATTGAGAGTGTAAGTAGCACCACTGAAAAGGTTCTACGATCCTTTTGATTAGGTTACCCCGCAAAACTGTCAGATTAGTCAACAAAAGTATAGACAGCACCACTGAAAAGGTTCCATAATTATTTTGATTAAATTTGCCCCGCAAAAGCGTTTCATGTATGCAGTCAGCATATGAAGTCCTTTCCACAGTCCCTCTATAAAATCCAACTACTGTGTTCTCCAACACGACGTGCTTAGGTTCAAGCATCGATTCTACAGCTCATAAAAGTTGTTCAAATTTAACACTTCCGTCAGTGCACCCAAATAGAAAGTCTCAAGAGGCGTTTATAAGGTCACAGCATAGCCGAAACGTAAATACTCGCAAATATTTCAAATTATGTTCTTCTACGCACGACAGGTTGTCGCGCATCTGCTTATGCGTGCGTCGTTTTGCCGATACACAAAAACCCGTCATGTCTATTAGAAATGTTTACGGACCACAATATAAAATTTCACAGACATACCTACACTAGAACTTTATAAAATATCAATTTTAATAGGAGCTCACGTGTCGAGAACCGCATCACACTTGTCGATCGCTGGCGTCGTAAACAATGAGCAAGTGGAGCAAGTGTGCACGCTGCTGCAGCCCAGAGTTTCTCGAGATGCGCACCACGTGCACACGGTGAAGCGAAACTATCAGCCCGACCCATGGTGGCAGGAAACCGAACTGTACTTCGCGGATAGGCGAAAAAGTATGTGACACTCTCCACAGGCGGCACCACCAAAGTAAACGCTCGCAAAAAAAAAAAACTCGATAGCCTCGCTACGCGCGCGTAAAATTGCCCTCGCCTTTAAAAAAAAAAAAAAAAAAGTAATGCGTTTTTTTTTTTTTTTTTG